CCCCGGTACCGACCCCTGCCTTGGGACTTGGGGCAACCCCGTCTGGGCCGCTTTGGGGGCAGACCGAATCTACTGAGAGGATGAGGGGCCTCCTCGCGTCTCTGGCCCCGGCCCGCGCACCTGCCGCTCTCTGGGCAGCCGGCAGAGCCCCGCCTCCGGGGCTTCTCACGAACGCCGAGGCGCGTCACCAGGCCGAACGGCCGGCCGGCGAGCAGAGCACTGACCCGGAACCGCACTTGCACGAGCGCGCCGGAAGTGGCTGCGCGTGGGGCCTGCCCGTCCGCCGTGCGCAGGCGCCTGAGAGCGGCCTCCGCAGACCCAGGCGCGGTGTTGAAGAGGCGGTTGGGCCACACCCACTGGAGGGCGCGGGCGCGGGCGTTCCCTTCGGCTGGCCGGCCACGTCAGCAAGCGGCCGATCAGAGAATGTTGACGGAGAGGCCGAAGCCTTTCTTTTTTAAGAGTCGGTACGGAACGGAGGGAAGTGGGCGGGGCCTCGTGGCAAAAAGGAAAGAACCCAATTGGTGCGGCGGGGCCGACGTGTGGTGAGGGGGCAGGGGGCGGGGTGCTGGTGGCTGCGCTGGGCCAACCCGGAGCTTCCTTTCCTCTCCCAGCGTCCGGTTCCCCGCACCCTAAACAGCCGCTTAGTCACTTAGTAGGTGACCACTCCAAGCCTGTAATGGGTGCCCCGTGCCTTGTGATTAGTTTTGACTTTTGTGCCTATGACCTGTTGTGGGTTACACATTTTTTATTGCAACCCAGGGCACATATGCTGTACCATTGAAAGAAGTTTCCAGAATCATACCCTTATTATATAGTGCACTCGGATACGGTGCATTTAGTTTAAAAAACAAAAACGCTGGTTTGGCAACCCACTGCATTCGTTACGAGGTACAAACTGCCTCGTACAAGGTTAAGAGTTCAAATTAGTAGCCTTTGCCAGGTCTCCGTACTCCTCAATGCTAGCCAAGCCAGACATTCCACACTGCAGTTGGTCTTGTTCTTGCCCCAGACGCAACACCAACGGGCCCCAGAGTCAACAGCTTCTATTGGATTCCCTCAAACAATCCCTCCCTTTGCGTGTTCCACTTCCCACCATCAGGAGCAGGGGAGGGAAAAAACCAAGAGTGAGACTAAGAAGAAATACACAAACTAGGAGAATAAGCCCTGACTCCACAGCCCCGAAAGAAAGAGTTGGAACTGTATGACACATTATCTGAAATAAGCAAACAAACGGTAAGAGTTTAGCACTTAAACTTGTCAACAATTATTAAGAACCAACTACTTGTAAGCAAATAATGTTTATTTTTATATTGATACACTTAATATATATGTGAATTCAAGATACAAAATTCATTTACAAGAGTTCACACCTGATGAATGTAGTCACATTTCTACAGTACATTTATTAATGTAAAAATGCTCTCAATACACTGACAACAAAAATCAAATGCTGTGTAATCTTGTTACTCAATAAACATAAAAGTGACAATGTTTAACTTTCCATCCTCTAGTATTGAAGCGCCCTCAAGGTGGTAGGCACCATATAAAAGAAGGAAACTGGAAAGACAGGGGCCTACTAAATCTGCTCTGCAGGGTCACAGTGTTTAATTCTGAAATTCATTTTGTGAAGTAGTTCGTGAAAGGCTGACTATTCTTTATGACAAATCACATATACAAGAGTCAAAAGTGATGAACTCCAGAAAAAAAAAGTTTCAATAACCTCTTAATTTTTATAAGCCATTAACCATAACAGACAAAAAGGCTGCTGAAAAAGAACATAAACATCATTAAGAGTATGTATGGCTTAAGCAAGTTTGAAACACAACAGACAAGACTTACAAGATCACAAAAGTTCAAGTCAAATGATACTGACAATATAATTTTCCCTCTTAGCCATTGGTAGTAAATAGCCCCTTCAAAACTTACTCTACTGACAATGCATACAAAACTAATGAATTCAAATGGTTTGCTGTCTCAGAGACTGAGTTGATGGATTCTGTTCTAAACTATTAACCCACAATACCAAAATTTAATACAAGTGAGCAACAAGACTACGTCTCAAGGATACAGTCATTTGTGAATAGCTAGATAGGCAATCAAATAGCTTCATTATTTGCACGACAGATTAGCAGCACTTGGATAAGAACTGTTACATGAAAATTATTGTGCTTCAATGTCTTGAGGAGAGCTAATATAACTCTATAATCCCTATATTGTTACAATTCTATAACATTTCAGTTACAGACAAGCACAATTTTTAAAAAGTATTTCACACCACTAGAAAATCAATTATATTCTCCAAATGTAATTCTGCTATGATTGAAACAAGTGCATTTCTGCCTAATATCCATAAGACAGACAATAGGTTCACCATTATTTTCAGGGAAAAACAATCAAACATAACTTATTTTAACCCCTATTTGATTATCTTAACCTTTGTCATGATTTGAATAAAGAAAAATGATATTCAACCTGACAGTGGAAACCACTCAGCAAAAAGAATGTGGCCTGAAATGATAATAATCATTAGAGCAAATGAAGGGATGATTTATCACTGCTTCATCAGATTCCCTGACTCAGGAAACCCCTATCTGTACTGGTGCTACACACTGAAGACGACCTATTTGGATAAATTCCTTCACTTGTAAGCTCTGCTATGAAATATTAGGACATCACACCTGCCTTTCCTAATATCTAAGATCTTTCTACCTTAAAAAGAAGAAACCTTTAAAACATAAGATGCCGATTATTTAATGGCAGGTTTATTAAAAACAAGAAACATTTGGAAAACTAGCCACGTGGTCTATGTGACAAAAGGAATGTACCCAGATAACTGTAAAAAGCCGTGAAAGTCAAGTCCTAAAGCATTTTATTGAACCATTAAAAGTTATTTTTAATGAAAGATGAAGAAACAAGAGATTGTTTTTAAAGAACTCATTCTTCAAGGAATAGTAATAATTCTTATTGCCCTAAAACATTTAATGCAATTTTTCTTGCAGATTTTAATATATCACAACACATTTTTATAATTTAGAAAAAAATCAGTAACATGCAAAGGAGGGTAGGAATAAGATTTTTAAAAACACTGCAGTTATTTCCCTATAGTTTGGACATATTTACTTTAGGATAATCATATATAATCATCTCACATTTTACAATGGTGGATCACACTGATTTGACGCTTGAGAAAACTTATGGGTCAAGTTGTAATGTTCACTAATCTTGATTTTCAATCATGGACAAATGGACATTTGAAACAGCTTCAAAAGAGAAAAGAACATTAGTGATATAAAATTTTATTTTTAAATAGACCTCTAAAAATTTAAAGATTTTACTTACTTATTTTTAGAGAGAGAGGGGAAGGGAGCAGGGAAGAGAGGAAGAGAAACATCAATGTGCGATTGGCTGCCTCTCCCCGCATGGGGGACCTGGCCTGCAACCCAGGCATGTGCCGTGACTGGGAATTGAACCGGTGACCTTTTGGTTCTCAGGCTGGCACCCAATTTACTGAGCCACAATGGCCAGAACTAACAAAATTCTAAATATTGTTTACTGCAGACCTATAGGAAGGCTAGCTATAATTTTCTGTGTCGTTCTGAAAGTGATAAAACCACTCAGTCTATTAATTTTCATTCCATAAACCTACCAGAAAGGAAGGATCTGAACCCTGAAATTACCAATGTCTCAATAAACACATTACACCTAAAAAGATGATTGTCTTAGGATATACTGGAATTGTCCTCCAAAATAGGAAAATACTCCCAATTTACAGTCAGTTCTGTGACCAAATTCAGGCTTATGATTAAGTGAATGTGGAGTGCAAAATTAATATACTTCAAACTATTTAAAAATTCTGACCTACTATTCAAATCTGGTTTAAAAAATTACACAAAATTAGTGTGATAATTAATTTTAAAAATAACTTTAAAAAACAAATTAAAAAATATTTTAAAATTAGGAAATGGTGCTTCAATCAGTGATTAAGTAACTGTTATGCAGAAATGAAATTCTTCTCAAAAGCCAGTATTACACCAAATAAGTGAAAAATACTAACTTTAGCTTAACAGAATATTCCATATCTGCAGATGGAAATATTTCTATGGCACAAAGAAATTAGTTATGTTAATACATTTCTCTTCACCCAGTTAGGGGCATGTCCCTTACATCGTCCTTCTGACACCCTTCTCTTCAATAGGTGATTGATTCCATTAACATATCAATTATTTTTCCTTAAACAGAAGGTATGCTTAAGAAGCATGTGTCCAAAAATACTCAGTGAAGCTGGACATAGTGTAATATTATGTTTTGAAATTCTAGATTGAGGAAGACGAATTGCCATTTAAAAAAATGTCTCAAGTAAAGTGGTCATAGTATGCAGGAAAGAATGGGAGGTCTAGCACTACTAGGTTGAGAGCATCAATGTCTAGGAGCACAGGAGAACAGGGGGAAAGTGCTTGGTTTTCTAAGCCATCCTTACACAACCACCAAGCAACTGGCTCGGCAGCCGTTAGAGTCCTGTTCACAATGGCCACTCGTCTACTGCACTTACTGTTGCTGCTCTCCTCAAATCAATGTCCATATTGAGCCCGAGTTGGTTCCATGAATTTTAAATACTGGGTTGGTCAAAGTGTCCGTTTAGTTCTTTTCGTAACGGCAAATTTTTCATTTTCACCGATAACTTCATTGATTTGGATATTCTGAGTGTCAGCTCTCCCCGTGTGGTATAATGTTGATTGTTCTCGATTTGATCGCTGTCAGCTTCAACTGGTCTATGACCGTGGAGCATTGTCCAGCGAGAAATCTCCACCACAAAACTTTGCAAACCACTTTTGACACATTTGATCATTCACAGCACCTTCTCCATACACTGCACCAATCTTTTTTTTGCATTTCAGTTGTGTTTTTACCTTTCTTGAAATAATAAAGCATGAGATTAAGAAAATGCTGCGTATTTTCTTTCATCTTTAATATTAAAATAGCCACACAAAATGTCTGATAAGCTTTTAAAAAATGCACGCTGATACGACAGCTGTCACAGTACAATCTTACAGAAAAAACCAAGCGAGCGTTTTGGCCAACCCAATAGCATAACTCCTGCTCTGCTAGTCTCCGATTGCAACAAATGATTTGGTGAACATCAAACTCTATGAACGCGTTCACTGATTTTTCAAAATGCTACAATGCCAAATTTTAATATTTATACCATTATTTTAAATGTAAGACTTGAGAAGTGTTATGCATAGTTGACTGTTTTATTAAAAATACAATGAAGAGGCAAATGTAATATTTTGGGGGTGGTAAAATTGATTCCTGATTCTAACTTCTCTAAGATTTTCACATTGGGTCAGACAGAATTAATCTTCTGAAGGACACTGGGGTAAACAGTTGTTTTGCAGTTATATTTTATCATGCAAAAATAACCTCTAATTAATTTCTGTGGTGACTGTATTCAAGTGTATATTAAACATCTTTTACACGCTTCCATGCAAATAAACATGCCCAGTGAAGACAGGCGTAACTGAACATTGCTACTCTGTGATATCTCACAGGTTCACAAATTGGCACTGTACATAATTACTATCCTCTTATCTCCCCCACCTGTCATCTTTGGTAGAGGTTTGAAGGCCCAGAGTTTAGAGCACGCCATGCACCTAATATTAAGAATCCTACTTCATGTATGAATATATCATCAATTTGCAGAACACAAGTGATCTCATAGAGACAAAGAAATACAAGTGGAGGCTTTTTATTCACTGGAAGCATTTGCTCAGATGAACACGCTCATCTTCGATATGCAACCCCCGTAAGAAACATCTACAGTCAGAAATGCCACAACGGGACTAATGTGATCACAGCTGCTGTAAAATGCCGATTAACAACCCCCTGCTCTCAAGGATGTTCACCTAACCTCAGTCCCCTAGCTAATGCCCCTTTTTCTGCCTCACGGAGTCAGATATAGAATGAGACACACTGGTGAAAACAATTGTTCCAAAATTAAAAGTCAGTATTAGGCAATAAAATGGCAACTAGGAACATATACCCTAGTTAAAGGACATTTTCCTCTCTATTTTGAAATGTGATCAAAGTAATTTTTCCCACAGTCCCTCAATTCTCAGCATAAATACTTTACTATTCAGTAATAATATTTAACTATGGATCAAGAAAATAAAGAACTAATACAGCTTAAGAACCTGCTGGTGTCTCAGTTTCATATACTTAGGTTTTTCAGGTTTATATCACTAATTTTATCATCAGTTTAAAAGAAAATTGGCAGATGAATTTAAAGCTAAGAATACCCAGCCTTCTGTTCAGATCTTCGTACCCTAATTTCAACCCCAAATTTACCCATTTTACCCAAACAAAAGCCCCTTAAAATAGAGGCTCATGAATGAGATACAGCCACAACCTAATTACAGCAGCATGAACAATGCCACTATGATGTCCTCACAGAACGTAAATAAACTCAGCCCACAATGGGTACAGCTATATAATATACACATACTATATCACTGCATACCAATATATTTACAAACATGTACATATATACAAAAAGTATACAGATTGCATTTAGCATCATAAAAATATACACATGCCATTACAAATAAGGATTTCAAGTAAATAAAATCAACAAAAGAGCCCTCAACATAAATACTCTTTACCCTCTCCAAACAAACACGCAGGAACACATATACACCCAAAATACTACCAGGAGATTCATACCATTCATATTAAAAATCAAATCTTTTACTCACTTAGGGTGGGGGGGTGATTCTGAATCACTGGCAGTGGCCAAGTTTGCAGACCTTGGTACCTTACTATATTTCCAGTGAAGAATGTTCTCTGCATATCAGGCTGATTACGAGTCTCCATGGATAACTAAGTACAAAATTTTTCAACTGAGGCCAAACCCCTTCTAAGAGACAGAAAATTACAAAGTCACACAGGTCAGAGATTAAACCTGAAGAATGCTACAAAAAACTCCAAAATTGATATATAAAAAAGCAGATTTGTTGATTTCCCTCCACCTCAATGAAATTCAGTTCAATCACCACCTAATCCATTTCAGGGAATTCTATTACAAAAACAAAACAGGGGCAGAAGCCATACATGAGGAAAAATAAAACCCAGACTCCAGATCAGAAAATTTTCATTCATGACTAGATTGCACTTTGTTTTTATAATCTCAAAACATTTCAACTTGGTAAAAATATAAAGGGTACGATAAATTCTATGTGCTTTGAGAGGTTTTGAGAGCACCACTTCCTAAGAGGAAAACACACACACACACACACACACACACACACACACAAAATACATCCTGGCTAAAATCAAAGACAAAGTGTCTAACTTGTGGATTCTTTATAATTAATGCATAAAAATTTGCTAGGGCTGACTGATTTACTGGTTTTAATATTTGATATTAAAAAATACCATAACCTTTGTGCCAAAATATAAATCTCTAATTATTTCTTTCTCGTTCACTATAGAAAACCACCTGAGCTACTGGAAAGACTGGGCTGAGATTAGGAGGTTTGAGTTCTAACTATCACTGTGAGTAAACGAATAGTTTTGGTGGTGGTGGTGGTGGGGGGTCGTAGATTATTTCTCTTTTGTAAAAGAGGGAAGATAGATGCATTACCATCTTCAGAAATACATGGGTAAAGAAAGAGAAAATAATTCCTTGTGCTTAATTTTGTTGCATGTATAACTGACTTCTTGTAGTCTTTGACTCCCTATTTTGTTTATAGTGATTTTAAGGGTAAGAGACTGTATCAGAATCTCCAGGGGGAAGTGTGTGCAATTTGAAAACAAAGAAGTGCCCTTTCCTATTGCTTTGCTCTGTTCTTAGTTCCAATATTTCAATTTCTATGAAATCTAAAAATAAATAAATAAAGGGCTTAATATCTTTACATTTCTAAAGGGGAGCAGCATGCACTGGGAAAAATGAGACCCTTTGCCACTGCCATCCTGACCCTACTGGGTGATTGTCCTTCAACGTTTCTTTGTCCTTGATTAAAGTAACGCCTTAAAGTGTACAAGCTGGGTAGTGGGCACAAGTGGGTTCAGTAACCTCTGTTTACATTTAAAACTTTTATAGTAAAAGGTAAAAAACCAGAGAGAGAAAAGACAAAGAAATACAAAATGTTTGCACAAATGTAATCTTCTCAATAAGGCCTACTACCCTGATCACTCATTTCAACATTGCTCTTTGCCCCAAAACAAACTAATAAAATTTCCCTTACAGAGATCTAATTTTTCTTCAAACAACTTACAAATTTCTAACGTAAAATTACTTAAATTATTATACGTATTGCCTGACTCCTCCTACTCGAATGGAAGCTTCATGAAGACAAGAATTTTCAAGTTTACTTTGACTGCTTCCCCAGCACCTAGAACACAATCTGGAGTGCAGGTGTTATTCAACACACTTTTTTTCTGAAGGCATGAATGAAACAATAGTCGAGAGTTTTCTAGCAGTTTTCCTCTTAAGATCACTTTGGCTTGCTTAAAAACTTTAACTACCAGTAAGCAATTATACTACTCCTAGCTTAAGAAGCAATGCCATCATCTAAACCCTCCCTTGTTCCTAGATAAACGCATTTCTCATCACAGAAGCTCTGATATTTCAGGAGATCCTCTCTCTGAACTAGTTTCTAACAACAACTAAGTGGGACCTAGACATTTTCTTGAATAAAAACTAGTTAAATATAATCTGGAAAAGCAAATATTGTGTACGCTAAAATCAGGGAAACTAATTTTCCAGGTGACATGGGTATAAAGAAATCAATACCTTTGGAATCAAGAGTTCAAATTATAGAACCATTCAATTGGACAGCACCCGGGGCCAATGCCTTCATTTTACAGATGAGAAAGCTAAAGAGCAGAGACATGCAGACACCCGCCCAGGGCCTAAAGCTAATTACCAGGAAAGCCAGGATTAGAACTCAGGCCTCCTAGTTCTCAGACCAGTGTTCTTCATGCTAAACAGGTGAGGATAAAGCTCAGGATGTAATATTATTTTAATCATCAGAGAACAGGAACGTATGTGTTGCTGGGAATGTCACTGGCACAGAACTTCGGGAGAACTGACACAGCAACCAGACCACTAAGGCCTGTCTTGCTGGAGTCAGGTGAACATGGAGCTCACAGGAATGCTCCGACATTAGCGAAGGGACTGAAAAAAAGGGAAAACGGTGTTTATCTGCTAAGGAAAAACCACCCACAAGCAAAGAAAATCTCTACCCAGAATAATGTTTCCAAAGCTTTCTGAAATAATGTTTAAAAGAACAAACAATTCAAAAACTAATAAAACATCACCAAGTCCCCCCGAACCAAGAACAATAGCTTCAAGACTTCAGGTGAAAAATCAGCCAATTGAAACAAGTATATGAATAACTTAGGCCCAACTAATTCTGTATGACAGAAATGAAAACCAAGTTAAAAATATTACAGAAAAAAATTCCCTAGGGACATAGGAAAGCGGCCGCAAAAGCTATCACCATTTCCCCTGGGGCTGCCAGAGGTAGAATGCGAGCCTGTACAGAAAATTAGGCAGCAGGGCTTGTGATTCATAACGTTCTGAACTTGAATTCTGTGGAGTTAAAAGGGGGGGAAAACATCACAGCTAGTGCCTGCGAAATTATGAAGGGGATGACAGGGAGGAAAAACACAAACATCTTTATATTATATACTGAGCCCTATTTAAAATAATAAAAAGAACTTGTGCATGAATATAAAATATTAAATAAAACAAGTTTTAAAAAATCTTATCGCCAAATTGTCAATGCGAAATCAACTTCCACTTTAGGTTAAATAACAATTCAGTTACCCTCAGCTAAAATGCATAACATCTCTGACTCTGAAGTCACATACATTTGAACTATGCAAAAAGGTTACAGACTCTCAACTGCATTCCATGGGCTTCCATCTAGACAGTCTTTAAACCTGACCTTACAAACGAAGAATTTAAATAGAATTCCCACTGCAAATACTGTCTTATGAAACCAACAATCTGAGTTTCAAGTGAAATACTTAGAAGTGGTTCTTTTTCATTTCAACACTCAGAGACTATGAAGGAAACAAAGTATGCAAACATATCTCATAGCAACACAGGACCCACACATTCCAAACGATATTTATCCCTCTCAAGACCCCAATGAAAGGTTTAGCCTTCAGATGCAAATCAGTCTTACACAGTTTCTGAAATTCTGACAGTATTTAAACAAGTGAAATGATTTCAAGAACTGTTGATTATACTTCAGAGAATCATACACTTTCTACGTACTAAGTTGGAATGCAAAGAAATAGTATGGCAGGACTCTGTTCTTGATTTCTAATGGTCCATGCTGGCTAGTTTCCTCTCTGAACAATTATGTATTTTCCAAATCCACACACGTAAGGTCCAAGTTTAAGAGTTGGATTTTCTTCATGTACAAAAATAAATAATTTACTCTTCACAGGGTGAGAATAGTGACTATTTGAGTGTAGGGTTAGATGCTGGAGGCAAGTTTCCATACCTCAAAAACGAAAATGAAAAAAAAAAAAAATCCCAAGATTAGTCGAGTTTTTAAAAAGACCCGAAAGATTGTATTTTAAAACAATTACCCTAAAAGTATGAACAATTTTTTCAGTTTGTTCTTAAAATGGTGGTCCTAAATTAAAAAATAAAAACTTAAGTAACACCACTGTGTGTCTGTCATCACATTAGAAAACGGCACCATTTAAAATCTGTGGCAAATGAAAAATCTGTTTCGACAAGAGGATTTCTGTGTTAATAGTCATCTATGGTATTTTCAAAGAACACGTTTCGAACATCCAGAATGGACGCCAATTCCAAAATGTGCTTCTGGAGGTGAGGGTTCTCCACGGTCTCATCCCTTGGCAGCTGTGGGTATGATTCAGGATAGTTTCGTGTTTCCTAACAGGCGAAGAAGAGAAAAGTCAAGTTTTATAGTTTAATGACAGAAAATCATAAACATTAATGTTACTGAATGATTGTTCACATTAACAATATCAAGGAGTAACATTGATATTATGTATTTTTCTCTTTCATATTGGTATGATTCTTTCTGGTAACACATTTTTGAACATATAAAATTGCTGGCATTTGACCACTTTGACCTTAAAAAATGACAATTTCATATGATTCAACCTAATCTATTAATTTAGTGAGTTAATTAACAAATGTTTACCGGGGCCAATCATTTCTGGGCACTATGCTATGTTGTAGAAACCATGTAATTTTTACTTGTTAGGGGAGAGAGAAATCCTAGCATGTTTCAACAAGTATTTGTTAAGTGAATGAATAAATAAATTTGCAGTGGAAATTAAAATGAGAGAAAAACGATAAGAAGCATGGGCCTTCAAAATTAATTTTAAGAGAGGGATGTGCCAAAATGACTGTAAGATTTCAGGAGTGGGTGACTCGAGAGAAGAGTCGGGAACCACTGAGAGAAAAAGAGGAGGAGGAGCTGATTTGGGGGTAGTATGAAGCTTCAGGTTTTAGGTATATTTTCTTTTTATTTTTTAAATATTTCATTTATTTATTTTTAGACAGAAGGGAATGGGGGGGAAGAGAGGAAGAGAAATATCACTGTGTGGTTGCCTCTCACATGCCCCGTACAGGGGACCTGGCCTGCAACCCCGGCATGTGCCCTGAATGGGAATTGAACCGGTGACCCTTTGATTCACAGGCCAGTGCTCAATCCACTGAGCTACACCAGCCAGGGTGGTATATTTTATTTGTGTTAATAGTGTAATACAATTAGAACTGCTCAAACACAATTTGAAAATTTAGGGCTGTATCTCAAAAGACAAATTTGAGCAATATATGTAAACACTGATATAATCTGCATGGCAAGAAATCTTAAAGCCATAAAAATAGATGAGATTTCTAAGAATATTACCAAAAAGTAAAAGAAGGAGTTCCTAAAAAGGCAGATGAAAGTTCAGAAAAAGGAAAAAAAAGGAATAATAAAATGGAAAAAAATTGTATAATTACAGGAAAGCTAAAGAAAAAGACAATTTCAAAAACCTGGTCATTCTCATTTGGCCATTTCTATAGACCGTAATTTTGCCACACATTTAAAATTTCCAGAAGAAACAAGTTGCTACTTTTCTATGCATCTCACATGATGGCTCATATATTCAAATGTCATTTCTCTGTCTTATTCCTATAGGCCTCACTCATTAACACTTACAAAGACCAGATTATTTTTTTTAAGATTTTATTTCTTTTTTTTTAGAGAGAGGGGAAGGAAAGGAGAAAGAGAGGGAGAGAAACTCAATGTGTGGTTGCCTCTTACACAACCCCTACTGGGGACCTGGCCCGCAACCCAGGCATGTGCCTTGACAGGGAATTGAACCAGCACACCTTTAGTCCGCCGGCCTGAGCTCAATCCACTGAGCCACACCAGCCAGGGCACAAAGACCAAATTTTTGTTTTACTACATTAAATACAGGAAACTGATAGAAGATTTCCTAGTGGCAATGTTTATTATAATAAAAAATTGGAAACACCCCAAATGTCCATTATCAGTAGGCTAGATGAGTAATTTGCGCTACATAGTCAAACAATGAAATCCTATACAGCAGTGAAAATGAATGAGTGAAAGCTATAGTCAGTCATCAACATGGCTCAGTTTCAGGAATACAATAAGGAGTAAAAAAGCAAGTTATAAAATACATAAAATATGGATCCATTTATCTGTTGTGTAGGAATATAAGCACATGTGGCAAAACTTTAACACAAAGTGAATGACAGTTATGAAAATCAGGATTTTAGTTTCAGCTGAGAAGAAAACAGGATTACGGAGGACCCAGCCTCAGAAGCAATGAAAATGTTCTACCTCTTAAATTGAGTGGCAGGTAATCAGATATGCCTTATTTTGTCCATCTGTAATACTTTAAATACAATACAATTTGTTTATATGATTTTGGATCTATTCAAACTCTATTTAATCCAAGTGAAATATAACATGTTTCTTAAATACCTAACATGGTAAAATTGGTCATTAAAATACTCTTTGCCTACCCGAAAAATCTTGTGCATCCTCATGGTGGCTGAACAAAAGACAAATCTTGTGAGAAGCAAGCGGAGAAATTCATCTCCAAAGAACTGCAGGAATGCCTGATCTGCAAAGAGGAGAAAGATGACAGTAAAACAAAACTTAAAGGGAAAAACACATTTCCAAGGGGAAGAAAAATTCAGGAAAACCTTCTCAACTTTCCTGCCTTCGACAAATACCTTTAAAAATTCAAACAATTTCAATGATTTTTAAAAATTTTAAAACCATTATAGTATGTTCTGTTAAGTGTGCCGTTAGATACTAGTAGGGTACCTATTGAACGTGAATGCGTCAGTAGCTGGGCAATGTCGCGGTTGATTTTTCGAAGATATTCTTGACACTTTTCCCACAGGCCTCTACGCATGCTTGACAATCCAGAGACAAATAGGAAGGCCATTAGAGGATTGTTCAAAAAGAGAGTGAAGAGGCTACCTCGTTGAGATTGATCTGTAATAACAAACATGTTTTATATATACAGATACACACATACATAGAAAACACTTTTGTAAAAGATAAGGATGCATTTGACGAACATTTTAATATACTGATGATGTATAAAATTAAAGCTATATCATTAAATCATAATTCAACAAAGTAGATCCTGCAAGGAACTACAAAAACATATTCCAGGTACCTTGATTTTCTGCTGAACAAACTTTAGAGCCTAGTAAACTAAGAGAAAGAGAACATGAACATATTCCTTTGCCGTTTCCCCTCCAACTCACAGATCTTATCCAAATACAGCAAGGTCTGGCTTACAGGCAACTCATGACAGAATTCTCTGATGAGTACTAGGATTGCTGGTCTTTTTCGCTCTTTTGTTAGTTGCTCTTTCTCCACTTATCCCTTCAATATCAACCCTTCCCCTCTTTGGCCTGATATATCACTGATCTCACCTACTCCCATAATTTTGGTTATCATTTATATGCCTATTGATTCCCAATTCTCTTAGATTGAGCTCCTTAGGTCTAGAACCATGCTGTCTCGCAGCACTTAAAAAGAACTTAAAATGTGCCCTGACTGGCAAAGCTCAGTGGATTGAATGCGGGCTGCGAACCAAAGTGTCACAGGTTCGATTCCCAGTCAGGGTACATGCCTGGGTTGCAGGCCATGACCCCCAGCAACCGCACATTGATGTTTCCCTCTCTCTCTCTTTCTCCCTCCCTTCCCTCTCTGAAAATAAATAAAATTCTTTAAAAAAAAAAACAGCTATGACACCACTGATTAAAAAAAAAAAAACAACTTAAAATGTGACTGGTCCAAAATGAGACACTGTGAAGTATAAAATGTACATGGGATTTCAAAGCAGGAGTACAAAAAGACACATTTTTTTTAATCTTTAAAGATTTTATTTATTTATTTTTAGAGAGAGGAGAAGGAGAAAGAGGGAGAGAAAAGTGGTTGCCTCTCGCACATCCTCTACAGGGGACCTGGCCCGCAACCTAGGTATGTGCCGGACTGGAATCGAACTGGTGTCCCTTTGGTTCTCAGGCTGGCACTCAATCCACTGAGCCACACCAGCCAGGGCTTAAAAGGCACATTTTTTAACTTTAATTTCACCAGTTACTTTCTACTTTTTAAAAAACATGGCTACTAGAAAACTTAAAATTACATAGGTGACTCCCATATATTTCTATTGTAGAGTTGCTCTAGACTACTAAATTCAACCTAACTCTCAAAGGTAACTTTAAACTCAACATGTCAAAAATTGACAACAAATTTCCCTCCTTTTGTTTTCTTATAAATTCACTTCTTACTCAGTATCGTTATTTCTACCAGCACATCAGCCAGAAACCTGAAGTCTATTCCTGCCTCCTTCCTCTCCCTTATTTCCTCACCATCACCAAGCCCATCACCAAACCTGTTGGTTCTTTGGCTAGTATTTTTTGAAGCCAGCTAACCAGCCACTGTCCTACCTTGGCCACCACAATCTCTTTATTTCCATCAGTGCTCCTGTCCAGTTCATTTTACATAAGATTAACTGAATGCTCTTTCCCATTATGCTGTTTAAAATCTTTTGGTAGCACCCCACTGTCCTCCATTTAAATCAGAAAAGGTTTTTCTTAATTCAGTCCCACGATTCCAAACCCCACCTTTTAATGAACCAGAACTATTTTAATTGCTCCAAATGTTCTATAATTCTACATGTCCTTCAGCTCCACTTTAGACATCATTTCATGCACTTCCTTCACTCTCAAAAGCTGTTAGGAGTTCCTCAAGTGTTTCGCAGGCTTCCTCCTGAGACACTAGGGGCCCCGGGATAACTGTCTGGACTGCTGGCTGTGTCTCCTGCCAGGCACCTGGCTCCGCGAGAAACAGACGCTGTCTGTCTCGTCAGAGTGTTAGCTGCAGTGCCAAGCACTACCTGACAAATAAATGTCGAATAGATATTTGTTGAATGAATGAAGGAACTCTTGGGTAAGGAGAAAACTGTAGACTTTAGATACCAGAGGCACAAGAATCTAATCTGACATCCAAATACTTAGACACCTGCTGGTTTTGTGCCCGGAAGGGGCACATTTAGGGATTAGAAGGCTAAACTTTATAGCACAAAAGATAGGATACTGGACTAAAAAATATTAAGGATGTACATTATAACTAAGCATATTAATAATGATAGCTGGCACATACAGAATACTTATACGGAATACTTACTAATAATATACTTATTAGTAATACTAATACTTATTAGCTGGCACATAAAATACTTATTATGTACTCAGAGTTATGAAACTGGTACTATTACTATCTTCATTTGATAGGAAATACTGAGGCACAGAATGGCTAAGGAGCCATCCAAGGTCATACAGCTAGTAAGTGGTTGAGTTGCAATTCAAGTTCAATCGGTTTGCCTCCAGAGTCTGTGTTTTCATCCTATGTGTAATAAAGCCTTGCTGACCAGATGATCTTGGTATTAACCCATTACATCATGCAACTTTAACTAAACCTCCCCCTTGAGAAGACCGATTGACAGCAAAAAGTACTCCCAAGTCACTGGAAGGGGTTACACTTCTCCAGGACAACAGGTTAACAAAGTTCTCAAAGCAGGAGAATTTTACCGTTGTTTGAAGGTAAGTTCTATCCCTCAGTAATTTGACTTTTGGTTACAGGAACTTAGTATTTCTACATGTTTCTCCCTGTTAAATAGCAGAACTTACCTTAAAACAACAGTGACAAGTCTCCAGCTTCTCTCAGGCATTCAAATGCTGACCATCACTTCCTGTGTCAAACTATGTCAGCAGACAGGGCTTCTGGCTGGGAAGTAGCAGTAAAATGCCATCCCCCACAGAGAGACATCAGCACTATTCACAGTCAGGGAGATAGTGAATTGGTGACAAGTACTGCTGAAACAGCGTGAAGGTTTGTTTAGTATCGTACCTCCCTTAATGCCTGGGCCACAGAACCAGATGGCACGTGCTGCCAATTAGGGACAAATTATTCAAAGTCTTTCACTTCTTATTCATCTGAGAAACGGCCAGAACACTGACCTGTCTCTCCGGCACACTGAGAAGAGGTTCTTTTATTTATAAAATACAACCAGGTAAAAATGTGGATGAAAGAAACCCTTTCCCTTTAAGTTGTGCCGGTTAGGGTATCCTAACTCATAGGCATAGGCTGAGGAGTCTTCTTGACCAGATAGCTTACGGTCTTAAAAGATGTAGCCAGTCATTACAGGAAATCACGCTAGACAGATGAGAACAAGCTCTCCAAAAACATAGAGCTGTAAAACAAATTTTTAAATTCACAAATTTTAAGTTCCCCAAGAGCAAGAGACCAAAACCACCCCTGACTCAGGGATGCTTTGCCATTTCTTTGAGAACTATCTCAAGGCCTAATGGTAGCAAGACTTCTGGCTGATTTCAGACTGACACGTGCCACATCAAACACCACACATCCACATGTGATCATTATAGGTAGGAAGCAAAGATCAATATTACTCAAACTGTAAACAGTGTTTATTTGCAACCTATGGATAGAAGAGGTAATGACAAAACATACCTTGTAAAGCTTTTGGATATGCTGTAGGAGAAAGCAAGCAGACTAGTGGCTGTCCAAATAAGTTTGTGAAATTCTGTAACATATAAGAATTTAAAGCGTTCATTAAAGGCTTGACCAAAGATAGTAATTTTCTAAAGCATATCATTAGTGTTTAGATTGGGCTCTCTGACTCATAAGCAGCTGCAGATACATCAGTAACAGCTGAAGAGACTGCCATTCATGTATAACTACTATGAATAATAGGCTTTCTTAAAATAGTGACACTGACTAAATGAACTATTGATTTTTTTTAAATAAAGGCACAGATACTGTTGCAGTGTTCCAGGTTACAGGGGGAGGTCATCTGGCTGTCTACCAGGAGGCCACCCCGTGGGCAACATGCCCTGATGGGTGCATGCACAAGGGTGAGTTTTCTAAGCTCTGAGGTCTGGCTCTAAAACCCGACTTAACAGGTCTGTGAAGACAGAGGCACCTCTCACTGTGAATCTCATTCACTGCTCACACAGAATGATGTATAAAACCAGAATGTCGATGTGAGAATTAAACTGACATGCAAAAAATACTCTCTGCATGCTTTAAGGGTATCCTTTCCCTTAGGGCAAATCTACACAGGAAATAAAATTATAAACTGTATGGTAAAACAAGATAGATAAAAAACTAAAAGTAAACTTGGGACACCAGGCAAGAGGGCAGCGTAGGCAGACATGGCTCGCCTCTTCGCACAACCACATCAAAATTACAGCTAAAATGTAGAACCACCATCACTCAGAACTGGCAGAAATCGAGTTGAATGGAGTCTGACAGCTATGCAGTTAAAGAAACCACATCCATCCAGACTGGTAGGAGGGGCACACATGTGGAATGGGCTGGTCCCACAACCACGTGTGATGGATAAAAATTCAGGGGGGATATCTCAGAAGCCAGGAGTCCCAGACCCACACCAGGGCCCCCAGCCCAGGATTCCAGTGCCAGGAAAAAACAGTGGGGATTGAGTCAGTGGAAGAAGCTTCTGGAGCCCCAGGCAGTTCCTCTGAAAGAACTCACACACAGACTCACCCACTCAGACCCTTTGAGCTCTAGCTTGGCATAGCAGATGGAAACGGACTAGTGGCATACGGGGAGGAACTGAAGCATCTGGCATCAGGGAGAGCAGAGGCCATTGTCCCTTTGCTAAACCCTCCCTGCACAGAGCCAGTAGGCTGGTGCCATATCTGAGATTCCATTGATCTGGCTAACACTGTTTGACCTGCCTTAGAGATCCCAGAGACTCTGCCCCACCCAGCTCACAGGCCCACCTAAGCTGCTTTTCCATATGAATGGCTAGTCTTGGCTCATGCTTCACAACTTCCTAAATCCTCTCAAATAAGTAACAGCCAGCTTCAGTGAACCCCAGCCCCACCTGCCCCACACATACTACAGCAGCCAGAATAGGATCACAGCTTGGCTTTACCTGGGAATCTCCAAGTCCATCTCAGATGCTCAGACAGGATGGCCCCGGGCAAAACACAGGTGGAGGCTGACCTTGGCCTGCACCACCTGGGAAATCCCCAGGGCCAGCACACTCAGTGGACAGCTACAGGTCACATCAGAGTATTACCATTCTGCCCTTGAAGAGCTGATCCTCCACAGAGCGTGGAAGTTCATGGTCAGTGGTCACAGCCAATCGTTGCAACATTGACCTGCCAGCAGCAACCAAGTCTCAGCTACAAGAGGAGGGTGTACTGAGCCCACACAAAGGGCACACCTTGAGTACCCAGCTGGGGTTATAGGGGAGTCTGTGCCACTGGACCCTACAGAACACCTACTGCATTAGGCCACATTACCAAGACATGGAGTCAAAGCAGCTCTGCCTAATAAATAGAAACAAATATATGGAGGCTGCCAAAATAAGGAGACAAAGAAACATGGCCCGAATGAAAGAACACGTCAAAACTCCAGAGAAAGAGCTAAGCTAAATGGAGAAAAACAATCTATCAGATGCAGAGTTCAAAACACTGGTTATAAGGATGTTCAAGGAACTTAGTGAGGAGCTCAGCAGCATAAAAAAGATCCAGTCAGAAACGAAGGATTCACTAATTGAAATAAAAAACAATTTACAGAGAAACAACAGTAGGGTGGATGAAGTCAAGAATCAAATCAGTGATTTGAAACATAAGGAAGCAAAAAACAACCAATCAGAATAACAAGAAGAAAAAAGAATCCAAAAATATGAGGATAGTATAAGTTGCCTTCGGGACAACTTCAAGAGGCCCAACATTCACATCACAGGGGTGCCAGAAGGAGAAGAGAAAGAACAAGAAATTCGAAATCTATCTGAAAAAAGAGTGAAAGAAAACTTTCCTAATTTGGTGAAGGAAATAGACATATAAGTCCAGGAAGCACAGAGAGTCCCAAACAAGATGGATGCAAAGCGGCCCACTCCAAGACACATCATAATTGAAATGCCAAAGAGTTAAAGATAAAGAGAGAATCTTAAAAGCAGCAAGAGAAAAGAAGTTAGTTACCAGATGGGTGGCAGATGTGAGGGGGGTGTGGGAGAATGGGTGAAGAGGTGAGGGGATTAAGAAGTACAAATAGGTAGTTACAGAATAGCCATGGGGAGGTAAAGCACAGTACAGGAAATGGAGCAGCCAAAGAACTTAGACACATGACCCCCGGACGTGAACAACGGTGGGGGCATTGCCTGAGGGAGTAGGAGGTGCTGGATAGAGGGAGGCAAAGGGGGAAAATCAGGACAACTGTAATAGCATAATCAGTAAAATATTATAAAAAATAAAATAGGAATAGAAATTGAAATAAAGTACAAACACTTAATAAAAAGTGAAAGAAACAAAAATAACTAAAAAAATACTCTTCAATCATAAAAATAAAGACTAAAGCAAATGCAAAGACATACTATGTTCTTAGAGAAGAACCCATTCTAAGGATGCCACACTAATTTATTAAAATTTAAACCAACCTCAAAAAATGGCCACAGATTGTTCCCCTGCAACTGAAAAGAAAATAATCCCTAAGTTTATAAGGAGAAAGTAGATTAGCCAGAAAACCCTGCAAAAGAAGAGCAGAGAGGGAACAAGCCCCATCAGCTATTAAAAATACTTTAAAGCCTCAGAAATAAAAAATAGGAGTGGGTGGGGAATGGGGCACATCTGTGATAGCACCAACAATAAAGAAAAAGGAAAAAACTAAAAAGAAAATGAGAACTTCGAAAAAAAATATGTGGCCCTGACAAGAGAGTAGGCAGAAGGCCAAGGGAAAAGAACGGAGAGCCCAGAGTGAGATCCCCAGGCAGTCGGGACTGACGGTATGCGAGGGTGAAGACGACGGTTTCAGTTGGCAGGAAAAACTGGAGAGCCACGCAGGAGAAAAGCTGGTCCCATACTTCACACCACACACTAGGATAACACATGTCAAAGATTTAAATGTAAAAACTTAAACCATGAAAGTGCTGAAAGGAAAATAGTAGAGTTATTTTTGTAACCTGGAAGAGCTTCCTATTACGATGATGGTTAATCAACCCAGGCACAGAAATCGAAGCCTCGTACATAGTAAAGTACAGCATACACTAAATCAAAAGCCAAACGACGTTTGGGGAAACATATCCACAACTCACATTACAAAGGATTAACGTCCTTAACATACAAAGAACTTCTCAAATCAGTAAGGACGAGTCTGCTGACAAGAGAATTCAGAGGAAAGGGAACACACTCAGTTCAAATGCATGAAAGATGCTGGACCTCACTGACGAGAGAAAGAAAACCAAAGCAACACTAAATTTCCGATCGTAATCTACTAGTTCGGCATTTTTCTAAAAGTTTGAAAATATGTGCTTTTGGCAAAAATATGGGTAAACAGACGCATATGTAGATGGCAGGAATATAAATTAGCACAAACAATGTAGAAGACAATTTGGCAGGCTCCACTGAATTCAGACGCATGTCCCACTGCCACAGCAGTCCCACCACTAGGAACGTACCCTATCACTGCACTCCCAGACCTGTAAAAGAAGTCCCAAGTTATTCCTCGCAGCATTGCCAATAATACTGAAGGGTTAGAAACAACCAAATGACCAGCAATCAAGGACTCGTAGACTAAATCGTGGTACAACCGTACAACGGAATACTGTGCAGCTACAAGGAAAGAAGGAAGAGGTTTTTACGAGTGGATGTGGGTAGACCTCCAACATTTCTTCACAGCAGAAGAAAATACCATACAGAGCAGTTGTATATGGCATGTGACTACCATTTATATGGCAGATCTTGGCTTATATAGGCATTAAAAAATGTTTTTCCTAGAAGGATGAACAAGAAACAGACAATGGTGACCACTTCAAGGGAGAGACAGTAACTGAGTGAGTTGGGCCTGGGAGGGATAACACACCTTTTTGACTTTGGGACATTGTAAATATAATAGCAATACAAAAAAATTAAATAATGAAAATAAATTAGAAATTTCTTGTAACCAGAACACAGGGAGCAAGCTGAATGATACTGAGGAGCATCCTTCAGCGGAGGCAGCCCGAGGCACTCCTGCACACGGCGGAGAAGGCCTGGGTCCGTGGCCGGGGTGCGCTGAGTAGCGCTAAGATTTGAACGCTGCCGTTCCTTGTGCCCCCAGGTTTCCTTTCCCTCTGCTTCCCTTCTGATCAGCTGCTCTGCTGATTTGTTTAAATACTGTATGAAAAGAGTTGGCACGGCAAGCCTGACTGCAATCCTTTGAAAGGCCTGCTTATTACAAGGTTGGCCGTTGGCTGGCTTCTGGGAACTTAGATTTGGCCATGGTCCCACCATTCCCCGAGCTCACTTCACCTGGACCATGCAGACAAGACGGTCTATGCCGAACACCTGCTTTCCTTCTGGGACGATGGCATTTTGGTGCGTGCCAGGCACAGGGCACCTACACGATCAGTCCCCAGTAAACCCCCTGGGCACCGAGTCCCCTGGGAGCTTCCCTCCCTGGTAGACACTGTACAGCATTGTCCCAACTTGTTGCTGAGGGAGTTAGGTACGTCCTTGTGTGACTTCACTGGGAGAAGGCTCCTGGAAGTCGGAGCCTGCTTTGCTCTGGACTTCA